CCAAGGGGCGGATAAATTAGGCAAAAGCAAGCAAGTCGGATTTGGAGAGCTACTCGTATAGAAACACCCTTGCTTCGCTGTTTGCATTGGTTGTTGCTGGCTTTTGACGGGCCGCCAAATTAATTGAAATGGGGGTTTCTTTGCATAGATCGTCCCACGCCACACGCCACACGCCAAATTAAAAGGGTGTCTTCTTTTCCCCCCGGGTTGGTTAAGGGACTGCTTGCTCCAATTAGCTACTCCCAGCTGCGAGATTATGCATGGGAACATATACCAAACGTACCCATGGGATTGGCTCTTCCCTTCCAATATTCTTCGGATGGATTTCAGCTAACTCTTCGATTTGAGGGGGGGGGTCTCGTTCGAGTCCACCATGCAATTCGTCTTCAGTAACTGAGGTGTCGTGGAGGGTTCGGAAAGGCAGCACAAAGGACGACGACTGGAAGAGTGGTCCTGAGTTCCTCGCATCTTTTAAACTGTTTTGTAGGATAGGATCCGTTAACTCTCTCGCTCGCTCTCGATGGAACGGGAGAGGCTAGCTAGCGCTGGTGTCGAAAACGGCACCGGCATGGCCACACAATGTGCAACTGCAAGGAAGAGAGACCGACCGCTGTGCCATCGTAGTCGTACTATAGATGGATGGATGTGTACGCGAGTTGTTTCACCCGGGCGGGCCCCCGCACCACATGGGCCGCAACAATGCTGGCGCATGCACTGATGCACGAAAACAATCAAGCCTTGAGACAGTGGCACGTACACTCTTTCGACGAGTTCCTGTTATAATTTATATTTTTTAGCTTGTTTTTTTTAGCCGGAATAATATTTTCTTTCTCACAGTAAATCAGCTAACAGTACTTTTAGTCATGACTTAACAAGACCTAGTTAAGGTAAGAGCAGTACTAATCATGTGTATATAATCAGCCCGTGATCTGACAGCAAATTCGCACGGTGTGTCGGGCCTTTCGGATTCCGAATGAATCTTCGCTTTACGCCGACGGACGTACGCGTGCGTTCGTGAGTGGCCTTTCCAGGTCGGAGAGAATATACGACCGTACTATAATATATGACGGCGAGATCAAAAGCGGAACCCAATTTCTATTTCGGCGATCAGCTGGCCGGGAAGAGTGATGAAAAAGGTTTGATTAATTAGACACGTACGTACGCAAAAGTTTCAGTTCAGACAGACGACCATCGGTCGGTACGCGTCAGCAACCCTGTGCGTGCGTGTGCCGTGCCTAACACTGACCGCTACTGCTTTGTACCGATTCCATGTGGCCTCGTACGTCGTCATGTGTGCTGCGTTGCGTTAATCTTGGATCATCCCAACGATTTGGCCGCTCTTCCTCGCTGGGGACGGGACGAATCCGCGACGTACGTGACCGGGTCAGGAGGGCATGTAATGAGGCAGCTGTAGCCATGCGGATCCGGCCATGCGCCCGTGTTCCATCGTGGCACGCGCCACGTCGGCAGCGTGCTGCATCAGGTTGGTCGTCGCAGGCTACCTGCTGGGTGCTGGCTCTTTCTCGTCTGTCGCTTGCGTGCGTCCCGGGGCCCGCCCGGGCCACATGGCGGCCCGGAGTTGCTGCCTTCACCGCGAAGTACCTCTGAAAATAAAGGAACGAAAGGAAATGCAGGTGCCGATTTGATCCTACTACTCCCTCCACTTGTGCCCGCGTCTTTGGTGTTTCAACATTCAGCGTTCAACCCATAACCTGGTTTGGTTATTAAATACTCCAGGTGTAGTTATTTTTTTTACTTTAACAAATTTACTTGATGACATATAGCCTGTCGTTCTCTTCAGAGATTCACAATTACGTTAGTACGTAGTACAAGATACCAACGTTAGTTTTTTTTTGGGGTGTGGGGCTTCTGTCGTGATCATAGGACATGCTGTGTTGTCAATAAACTGCGAGCCTGCATGAAGCTATACATGACCAAAAACATGTCACCCTTTCTGAACTCTGGAGCCTGGAGGGCAGGCCCATCATGCTGCTGCGTGCTATTACCACACTCGTATCTTTGTGCCAGCGAATCAAATCTCAGTCTGCTGCCTCCATCTACCGTACAGTATATGATGACCGCATTCACAGTGCTTGTCGTCCAAAACGTATCCAAACTACTAGCGGCATAGGCATACACACACACACACACACACACGATCGTACTGGAAGCTCAAGCAGAGACGTCTACCACTGATTGACTTTGACTGATGCAGGTTGAGCTGCCGTTCGATCTTGTATATATCTTGCGATAGTCAAGTACGTACTCTAGAAGTAGTAAGCGCCCAGTAGTGCATCCTTCCGATGATGTTTACGGCCGCATGGTGCGTTGGTTGGACAACTTAAGATAGACATGACGGGCCGTTAGCATCACTCTAATTGACCCTTGCAATACATAGATCTTCTTCATTCGCTAGCACACGCGGACACGCCTCGCATCACACCGACCACCCCCTCCCATGAAAACAAACACTACTAATACACTAGCGAAGTCCACATCGTCACTACCCCTGTTCGCTTGCTCGTAAACGATCGTAAATTTCCAGTCGAGAACAGTATTTTTCTCTCACACCAAACCAGCCAGCAGTAAATAATCCACGATACGATACGACCTCCCGAACAGGCTGCATACACGCACAGCTCAGCCGATCTCGAGGGCACGAGGGCTCGGCAGGGGAGGGAGAGATCTGGACGGCCACGCCTACGGGCGGCCTGCCAGCATAGCATGAAGCGCAGGCTACCTACGCTTGCCATGCACACATCAACTTCCCCGGAGTCGGCAGGTCACCGGCCGGCCCCCGCAGTTGCCGCGCGCGCACACGTCAGGGTCCGGCCGTCCCTCTCGCTCGCGCGCGCGCGGTCTCTCGCTCCCCCACCGGCCGGCCCACCCCGCCTGAACGGTCATGTACGTACTACCGAGGAATTGACTGGCTGATCGAAGGATACGTGCAGTTGCGCGGCGTACCAGCCCATCCACCATTTGACACGGCCACACACGGGCTACGCGCCGCGCGACACGCACTTAGCTTGGCTCGCGCGGCTACCGGCTAGGGCTTTACACGAGGCCACGGTTTGGTGGTGGTGTCCGCCGCGGCGTTTGGCACCCGGCCTCGCCGGGCGGCCTGTGAGCGATATGCACAGCACGTGCGTGTCGCCCGGCACATGCATTATCTGAAGCGCTCGTCACAAGTCTCACAAGACAGTACCAGAAACAAAGCTGCCGCCTAATTAGCAATTACCTTTAGTACGTGCCCGGTTAATCATGGCGGCATGGCGCCGAATGAAAGCGCCGGCTCAATGATTTGGCGGCGCCCGGAACAGATGGGAAAGAGAGAGGATGTACGTGGCAGCAGCAGTAATGGATCCTTTTGTTGCAGACTCCCTCAAAGTCTCGAAAAGAAAAACAACCATACCGTCATACGTTTACATACCAGTTAAAATGGTCCACGTTTTGACCAATTTTTTAATAAAAAAATATTTATATTTACAACTCTAATTCAGTTTATTATAAATATGCATTCCGTAACTAATCTAACAATATGTATTTGATATTATAAATATTGTTATTTTTTATATACTTGTTAACTTATAAGATACTAAAACGTGATACTATGTTGACTTGCACTTTTTCTTATAAGAGGGAGTACTAGTAGTACTTTTGCTCCTCTTTCATGTGTAGTCTATAAGCTAGGTTCCATTTGCTCAAATCTGACTCCGATTTAAACTGCAAACCATTTTAGTATCATGGAAAGTCGTCGTTTTACTCGAACTTTCTCCGTTCTAAACTGTAAGTCATTTCAGCGATTCCTAAGTATGACTTATTACAAATTGGTTCATGGATCATTGGAGGATGAATCGAAAATCAATCGGTCGATCTATTCCACAGAATGACGAATTGAGTAGCAAAGTTCTACTTCCTTTTCTTTAACTAGTACCACTGCATAGTCAAAATCACAACACAATAATTGAGCCTAGTAGTTTATTAGTTGACAAGATTGCAAAAGCACCCGGTTATGGATCTAATCTTAGTCAAGCCTATCCAGGTTTATCAAGCCATTATTCATCTTATTTTAATCGAAAAGTTAAGCCTAATTCGTGAACCAACCCATGGGCATGAATGGTTTTTTGAAACTTGCGTTCTCACATATTTTCGCACATGAACAGTTGAATACCATCCCCTAGTTTAAGAATTACATGCAATGTACATGTAAATCAGAAATAGTATATGGCCGAGCTACCCTACAAGGCTGTGGCATGTGTAAGGGAGAATAAACACATATTAGATGTAAATTTCACCGCAGAAATATGGAAACCAATTAAAAAAAAACTAGTATCGGTTCGCATACAAGGATAGGATAAGGAATTAATGACATGTTAGAGCTTAGAAATACCCTGAGAAGTATTTTTTGCATAACTTTTTGAATAAACAATTCATTCTGCACAAAGTTTAAGTCAATTATATATAGCGATCTCATTCATACATTTCGAACATCGTTGTAAAAGAAGCTTTGTCCGAGTTTGCGATAAAGAAGAAACACAACCCCCGGTTCACAGGCGAAACGGAGGCTCACACGTCGGATCCGACGGCGAATCGCAGCCAGCCAGGCACGCATGCCCCCCAGTGCCCGGTGCGGGACACGGACACCGACGGCGGGGCCCACCCGACATCCCCTCCTCCCCGTCCCCCTCTCCTCCCCTTCCTTCCCTTCCCCTCCCTTCATCAGCTCGCACACGCTGGCGCGGCTTGCCCCCACGCTGCGCTCCTACCACCACCACTATATATATCCCCGATCGCCTCACGCACACGCACCGACCCACCGGCCGACGAGGCGCAACCGCCGCAACGCAAACCCACACGCCCGCCGCCACCGCCGCCGCCGCCGTACCGACCCGCTCCTCCTCCGCCGTGGTGCGAGCAGGCTACGGCAGCAGACCCCGCAGGCTGCTCCTGGACCGAGGGAGAACGCGCGGGGCCGGGGTGCAGAGGCGGAGGAGGTACGTATGGACAAGTACGAGGCGGTGCGGGACATCGGGTCGGGGAACTTCGGGGTGGCGCGGCTGATGCGCAACCGCGAGACCCGAGAGCTCGTCGCCGTCAAGTGCATCGAGCGCGGCCACCGGGTTCGTTGTTTTTGTTTTGTTCGTTTCTTAAACTTTTTAGTTGCGGTTTGTTCGGCTTGGCGGTGGATTAATTACTGGGTCTGGGTGGATTGCGACTGGGTTCTAATTTTGATGGTTTTGGGGATCTGTGCTGTGCAGATTGACGAGAATGTGTACAGGGAGATCATCAACCACCGCTCGCTGCGCCATCCCAACATTATTCGCTTCAAGGAGGTTGGTCGTTATGGACCGAAACGTTTAATTGCTCGCTTGATCATTTCCTTTCGCTTTTATTTTTAATCACTGGGTGTTTGATGCCGTTTTAGTGTTATTAGGGAGCGGCTTCAAAGGGTGGCGGATAAAGGACTTTTCAAAATATATATATTGCACGTAATAATTGATAATTCGGGACGTTGCTGATTCCTCTTAACTGCATATAGTGGGGGGATCTTTTGATTGGTGCTGTTTAATTAGGTGCCAACTTTTGCTGTTTTCCTCTGTCCCTTTCCTTTTAGGCTATTCCCCTTGTGCTTCTTACGAATTTGGTATGCGATTTAGTGTCAGGGATGCATCCGCTTTAGATACTCGTTAGGTGTATGTTTTCTGTCTCAGATTGTTCACACAAATCTCAAAAGTATAAGGTGCAGAGTCTTCTATTTGAACCGTTGAGTTTTAAATGGATGAAGAAAACAGATTATGCCTCCACTCTGTTTGCTTAAGTAGTATCTTTTCTCCTCTTTTTTCTGAATCACTTGGTTTTTAATTGTTTTGGGAAAAAACTTCTGCAGGTGATACTTACACCAACGCATCTTATGATTGTGATGGAGTTTGCAGCAGGTGGAGAGCTTTTCGATCGGATCTGTGATCGCGGGCGGTTTAGTGAGGATGAGGTCTCGGAATTTGTTCCTGAGTTTATTTTAATGTTTTGATGAAAGAGTGATACTTAATTATTTTTTTCTGCTTAATGCAGGCCCGGTATTTCTTTCAGCAGTTGATCTGTGGCGTGAGCTATTGCCATTACATGGTATGAAACACACAAACAGAAGATTTTCTGTTCATTTGACAAACAAAACCATAATCTACGCTTTTAAGAGCAAAAGACTTGTATACCTTGTGTTCATCATTTTTTAGAAGAGACACTAGTTGTTAGCATAAAAGGTGTACTTGATGTATCACCGTGTATGTTTGTTGTTATTTATCATAATTCATTCTGAGGACAAAATTTTCAAACACCAGCAAATATGCCATAGAGATCTGAAGCTGGAGAATGTTCTCTTGGATGGCAGCCCAGCTCCACGGCTTAAGATATGCGATTTTGGCTATTCCAAGGTGGTTTGCTGGATCCATGGTTAATACTACAAATGCTGAACTTAGTAAAATCTTTATAAATTCTCATTAAATATTCTTTTGCCATGTCTGGAACAGTCATCAGTGTTGCATTCAAGACCCAAATCAGCAGTGGGAACCCCAGCATATATTGCACCTGAGGTGCTATCCCGTCGTGAGTATGATGGAAAGGTGAGCTTATCTCCCCTTGATTCTTTCATGAACTACATGTTTTTCTTGTTTCTATTACACCTTCGCAGGATATTCTGTTAGGTCACTTGCAATCTTTATCTAGGCACTGTTTACAACTTTGTGCAAGTATCCTTTTGCCTTGCTCTTGTTTTCATATGTTGAAGATTTGCAATGTTTTAGCATAACAGTACTGATTTACCCAGTTGTTTTAGGTGCATAAATTAAATGATGGTAATCAAACTTCCCCATCACAACCACATTGTGGGGGTATATTTGTCCATGATTGTGACATTACATGCTTGGCTTCTCAATGTAGTGAAAAGTCAGGTTGAATGATCAATCATTCTGTTACAAAAGTTGATCCTTCTGAAATTCTGCATACGCAGGGAGGAATCTTAGGAAATATCTGATCTGTAGGCTTATTTGTCAAATCTTAACAAGCAGCTGTGTATCAAGTTTATGTTATTTTTTGGTCGAGCCAAATAGGTCACTATTATGATGATGAACTAATAAGTTTGTATAATTCTACTGCATGCACCAAACCTCTTTGTTGTGAGTTGTGACACATGCTGTTGGTGTACAGTCTTGTTCGGCAACTAGATGGACTTCACATCTATTCTTTGATAGTGCATTTCATTTTTAGCTATAGTCACAAGTGCTGAAACAACAAAGGATCTGAAATTCTCTTGACAAATGCTTCTAATTTGGATGAGGATTCATTGTCAGCACGAGGTGCTGGAACATTTTCTGTTTGGTTTTTTTTTTAGATGAAAGGTTTCCCCTGCTTTATTTGCATAAAGCACTCAACAGCATTCAGCACAATGTACAAGGCGCGCCCGCCAGAGTTTACAGTTCAAAGCACAGCAAAAAAAGCCTAATGGCCAAACGTCATAGACGAGCACCCAAATGACACTCGCACTGATTATTACAATTCCTTTCTTGCGTCTCCTCAGACTGAATCACAGCTACGGAGCCCAGTGCCGAAGATTGCAATGCCAATGTCTCCAACCTTGATCTCATTCCCCCATCCCAACAGTTTCTTGGCGGCTGGCTTGCTTTGTCCAGAGCCTGCATCACCGAGTCCACCATGGTTCCCAGGTCCGCATTTTCTGTTTGGTTTATTGAGGTAATATGTACCACAAGGGATGTTGACACCAGAAAAGTGGAGCTGGGCTGTTTGATAACAGACATCCACAAAAGAGGTTCTTATCCTACAGATTCTCCATGTTCCTATAAAATAGTTCACCTTTGGACTGTGGATGGAGGGTTTTAGCTTCTAGTTTTTACATTGTCATGAACAAATAGGTTCTGGTAGGTTTATTACTAGCTAGTAGTTTATAAGGACGAATTTTCTGCAGTCTTATTTTCTGTCATTTCCCCCCTTTGTTAAGTTTAATTGTCAGAACACAATAAGTGCAACTAAATGGATAAAGAACACTACTGTGAAGTATGGGCATGGATCACAATTACATCAATAAAGAACATGTGCATCGCACAAAAAATTCGAGTTCACTCCATATTATAGGAACTGTGTTCTCATGGCTAGCATTAAGTTTGATATGAAGATTTTTGTATACCAACTTCCTTTTAAGAAAAATTCTAAGAGCAGTTTATACATCCACAACTAGTTGGCCAACCATTGAGCTTCATGCATATGTCATAGTGCTAACTTGAACAAGATTGTAGATCCTATTTATGTTTTGAATTTGATGCTTCTTCTGACTTCCTTGTTGAACATAAAATGCATGTGGAGCCTATTTGGTTCCTCTAGTTTCTTATGGCTTATATTTTGTATTTTATGTGTTTAGGGTTAACTTCATGGTTCTAACTAGCCCACTATAGCACTGCTATTGCATCTAATATTACATTAGCTCTGCTAAACACCACTATTTGGCTTACCCGTGAAATTCTTTTAACACTGCTATTTCTGACCAAGTCAAAATATTCATTCTTTGCTCTAGATGACTAGAATCCATGCCTCTCTATTATATTTTTACTTCAATGAATGATTCAGTGAACCATTGAATAGTTGTTTAGTTTATTTGTCGATTGAATGAATATGAATGTTGATTATAGTCGTGAGTGAGCTGATTGATTGAATGACTATGAAGTAATGGGCATGATGACATGTCTCCTAGAGCTTTTGACATGTATTCAAGTATTATGAGTTCATGGAACTTCCTTAGTTCTATGTTTATGTTCACAATTAACTGAAGAATTCCATGTTTTTTTAATAAAATCACTACCCCTATATCCCGCTATAGCATCTTATAGCTTCCTGGAGGAGGAGGCTGCTAAATAGCTTAGCCCGCTATTTAAAACCTTGGTTTTAAGTTTATTATGGTTTATGCTGACGTGCTTCGTCATAACCCACAAGCAACCTGCATACTGTTTATATATATGTTTTCTATTTTTAATGCAATAGCAGAACAGAATTGTACCACATGAAAGCCACCCGATCAATCAAATATCAGTTTCTCTTGACACCTCAGAAATTATCATGTATGATTAGTGAATTTTCGAAGCTTTGCCAGTTTAGCACAAAATATAAACATCAGTAAGTCTTATCAAGTGCAAGGAAACATATTAGTGTTCCCATTCTGAAAATGTGTATATCCTGATCTTGTAATTCACACTCTATCCTAATAAAGTTTGTTAATATTTATCTAACAGACTATTCATCTCCACTCATTGATTACTGTGGTACTTGTTCATGTAGCTTGCAGACGTATGGTCCTGTGGGGTGACTCTTTACGTCATGCTTGTGGGAGCATACCCATTTGAAGACCCCGATGACCCCAAGAATATACGCAAGACCATTCAGGTGACATACTATACGCCACTACTATAGATATCTTATCCAATTTCTGCTATTATTTTCTTTTTTCAACATCACTTTACCCTCATTCCAGTCACTCTTCGCCTGCAGCAAATAATGCAAGTGCAATACAAGGTACCAGATTATGTCCACATATCTACAGAATGCCAGCAACTTCTTGCCCGTATCTTTGTTGCCAATCCAATGAGGGTAATGATCTCAACCTGTAAATTACAGTCATGACGTGCCGTGATACATGTGGGATAGTGTAAACCGTGGTAATTTGAAACATTGATGCAGTATTTTTTATTAATATTCTCCAGAGAATCACAATGAAGGAAATAAAGAGCCATCCATGGTTTTTGAAGAACCTACCACGGGAACTAACGGAGACTGCACAAGGCATGTACTACAGGAGGGATAACAGGGTGCCTTCTTATTCAGACCAAACGTCGGAAGAAATCATGGAGATAGTTCAAGATGCAAGGACCATGCCGAAATCATCCAGATCAGGCTATGGGTGGAGCAGTGAGTATTCGGATGAAGAAGAAGAGAAGGAAGAGGAACACAGACCAGATGAACATGAGGAAGAGGAAGATGAATACGATCGGAGGGTGAAGGAGGTCCATGCTAGCGGAGAACTCCGTTTCGATACTCTTCATATATGAAAAGCTAGTGGAAGAAAGTTACATGTAGATAACTGGGTTGCTGCGGATCTGAAGGATCCAGTGGGATGTATGCAATTTTGGCTTCAGAATTGCTTCTGTTTGGTCAATTTTCATGTAACATAATTTAATACACTGAGACAGACTACCATGTTCCTATTATTGGTAAATATATGAAGCATGTACTGTCTGTCTGGATTGTACAGTCTGCTATGTTCCGGTATGATAATTCTAACGCATTTTTACGTGGGATCGGTGCTATCCACCAGATCACCACCACCTGAGCATCCAGCATAGATATGGAAAGCGGATAATATCTGGTTGATCGGCTTGAAGTTTTACACTGTGGAACACATACACATACTCTAATGCATCAGAAAAATCGATGTAAGCAGCTCTTCGCAGTAGTAACCCTCTGTATCAAAGGTTTCAATGCCATGAGACTGTAACATATACTTTCACTTAAGGTAGCATCATATGCTATTCTCAAAAAATCACCCATTAACACTGCCAATATTGAAACATATACTTTCACTTAAGGTAGCATCATATGCTATTCTAAAAAAATCACCCATTAACACTGCCAATATCTAGGTGCCTGACGACAACAATCTGGATTCGCAAATAGGAAAACATCAGACGCATAATGGAACTATTCTCATTTCGATTTAATAAATACTGAAAGAAAAACGAGGGAGCAGCACTAACCAAATGTCAGGACATGCTACTGTCCTACTCCTACACCATTAATTGCATTGGAATTTGATAATTAATGTGGAATTCAAAGGATTTACAAGTTACCTCTCCTAAACTGCTTCATTGTACCATTTGCTACAACCAAATTTCCAGTCGCAGACAGGGAATTGTTTGTGCCAAGATTGATTGAATGCTACAAATTAACATGTACATAGCTGACCGTTTGGATCAGGACTGTACTTTACAGTATGTTTGTCCGGTTATGATTTCAATTAGCATGGATTAGCATTAGAATATACACTTGGACAAAAAAGTGATGCTCATGAAAATTAGTCACCTTTTGATATGACAACAAAGACATCATCTAGTGACCACTTCCTAATCTCAGACTTATGTTCTGGGTTAATGATCGCCTGGTCAGTGTTAGCTAGGCGGTAGCCAATCACAATCTCGTCTCTCTCACGCGCCCTAACCATAATATCAAAGAAACTCAATTCCTCTTGCTCATAAAGGTAAAATTCAGCAGATCGAATGCACATCTCGTTTCCCTGTAACATGCAAAGTATCAAAATTCGGGTGCGACACATGTCAAGATGGGTAGTCAAGAGATAGAGGACAATGAATTTTAGAAAGTACCTCCTCAGCAAAAAGTTCTTCAAGAACTCTGTTTATTTGTTTGTCTTCCGCTACCATTGCTAGTGCCATACTTACAAGCTCATTTGACAGAACATAATCGCTGATTTTGGAGACAGATACAAGGTTTCTTGTTCTAGAATCGAGTATTTCACTGATGATGATAGATTTGTCTGATGCATGTTGCATTTCCCTAATCCAGGCACTGTGACAGAAGCCATTGTAACGATGAGGTGATTTCAGCTCCTTGGATGGAAGACGCTTAGACTGTAGAAGAAGGCACACATCAATGATGCAGAAGTCATTCATTTATGCACTATTGCACTGTGTCTGTCACCAGGCTGTTCTATACTCACCTGAATGTCACGAATAAGAAGAAGTGTGGCCAAAGAACGTGAATCAGAATGTACGATGGAGTCCTCTACTGACTCATCTGCAAGAATTAAAATCTGTGGTTTCAAAGTTAGCATTGAGATACTTCTGCAGAAGTAAATCAGCAATCGAAGCAAATCAGAGGTGGTATTTTTACAAGTTGGCAATGGTGCAGTTGTTTTTCTTAGTAGTTTGGAGTGATTCTCTAGCAGTGGGTCTTGCCGGCTCTTTGGGCTGAGCGGTTGTTCGGTTTTTGGGCCCAGTTTCACCATAAAACTAGGTCAACTCTTTTCTTCTAATAGTATAGCGGCAATGCTCTTGCTGCCCTTTCGATTTATTTTTTGAGAAATATAGATCACAACATGAACATGGTATTAATGCTTCTATACAAACAGACCAATTTGTACTAGTAGGCTCCAAAGTTTTCTTCCAGTTATCTGATGAAGATCTAAAATAAGATGTGAATGCAATTTGTACCTGTACTAAACAGACTATTTCACATAATTGCAAACAAAGGATTATATGGGAGCTAAAGATCAAGAAGAGTATGTCCCTTCTAAATTGCATGTCGTTTTTTTGTCCTAAGTCAAACTTCACTGCTTTGACCAACTTTATAGAAAAATGCACTTCCACCATCAAATTGGTACCCTTCATATGGTATTTTAGATGTTAGGTCAAAGTTAGAAAAGTTTGACATAGGACAACTAAAACGACCTCCATTTTGGAACAGAGTAGTGACCTCAGTGTCAATTCATCAACTATTTATTTTATTGAACAATGATTGTGCAGAATCTCTCTAAAAGAGAGTAATTTGTACTCACAGAGTCAAACGTCTCCAGAGGCAAGCTTTCCAAGTGTCGCCTGATAACAGCATTGCCTTCTTTATGTACAAGCTTAATGTTTGTTAACCCGCCTATATCCAAACCACCGTCAGTCAGTTTTATCTCCCTCTCCTTCTCCGGCACCTCATTGAACATCCATAATTCAGAACCTGGAGCTAGAAATGCTTCCAGAACCTAAATAATAGCACTAGCTTTCATTACCGAAAATAAGATTTCTAAGACATCAGTCAGGGAACATAATTTAGTAAATTTACCATTATCATATCATGGATGTCACGGCGCCAACCACAGAACAAAATTTTCTCTGGATATTTGGGAGGGGTTGGTATGTTAGGCAGAAAACCCTTATTCACCTGAAAATAGATAACATCTATGAGGTAAAACTCAAGGTGAAAGGAAATATGTTGCATGATGATCAATACACAAAATCAACTATTATTAAACCTTAAGTGAGGAAATTTACCTCTGGTAGAGGGGCAGGAGCATAAGTATCATCATCTTCTGCAATAACAAGGACCTCATCACCTTCTCTTAAAACATAATCATCATCAGGATTCATTAAGATCTTTCCAGATTTTGAAGCAACCTTGACTCCACAGGGCACAGCATCAGGAAATGAGATCAACACATCCCCAAACCGCATGCCATCCAATTCTGGCCATCTTTTAATATAAAACTCTGCATTTTCAAATCCCAATATATCTTCCCATATCTGCAAAAGTGGTTGATGGGTTAGTATTCTGAGTATTATGATCCATCCTGAGGGAAAATAACTCAGGACCAAATAAAACTTGGTTTCCTTGGTACCTTCAAACTTCAGTCACGTATAATCAGTGAACAATGGAACATTAGCAGCTATCAAGCTTCACACATTTTTTTTTTTTTTTTCTTCCTTTTTTTGAGGAGGTCAAATGGCTAACATATGTAATGTCCCTAGGTAGTGCCTTTAACATTATGACTTCAGAACTTTGTGCCTTTAGCAACAGCAACAAAGTCTTTTCTATACATGTAAATTTGTGTAGAGAGAAAAATGACATCACACAGATCCTAAAATACCATGATTCAAGTAAAATTGTAGGCACAAATATTGTTAACTATAAGACCAGAATAGCACTGAGATGTACCTGTGCAAGGCCAGGTTGAAGTGCACATTGTATCATCAAACGTCCAATCACATCATGGGCAACAACTGTTTCAATTAGTTCACCGCCAACCAGTTTCACTAAAGGTTCATTGTCAAGATCACTCATCTCTACAACAACATGGCCTCTTAGACCCTCCTTGACTCCAGTCAGACTCAGCACAACGCGCAATGCCCGTGCATCACTCTAGGGGACACAGAGAATGTGAGCACATGCAATAATATGACATGTTAGCTCCAAAAATATTAAATGTGTGTAGAACAAAATTACTAACTTGGTCTGCATTTTCATCAGATGCTAGAACAATAATGGCCCGTGCTTTAGAAACAGAAACCTGAAAAAAAAAAGCATCTGAGGTCTGCTATTTGAGATCTTAATATGGAATGAGATGAAATCATCGCTGCATAGAACATGGACCAAGGATAACCAGATGAGAATAATCTCTGAAAATTCTACCTTCTTCAAGTCTGCTAGAATTAGAGGACTGCCACTCCTACATATTACAGATGTTCCCATGAAGTCAAATTCTAGCTTTGCTATGTCCATCTCCATCTCTTCCTTGTCCCTTTCAGCTAGAACAACAACTACACCACCACCAATACTCTTGTTTGCTATAGCTAGCTGCTTCAGAAGAGAGCCCTGGTCCACAGTGCAGATATCGTCAGATGAACAATTCAATCATATCAACCTTGAAGAAGACAGAATTTAGCATTTGCAGCACAGTTTCAGTGATATTAGAGGATACAGTACAAAAATGCAGGGCATATTATCAGATCATATCTTTTTTTACATACTAAAACAGCTTTCCATCAGAATGTTACCAGCTTATCACTCCATCCGAGGATTAGTATGTGGTTGATCTCTATCACCTCACTTTTTCCCTTGCGCCAAGAATCCACCTTCTCTGATATTGCATCTGACACGAGCCCAAGCATTGTGGCAAACACCAGCATGCCCCCAGAGCTAATTGACACGGATACAATCCTCGGCCCCAAGCCAACCTGGTCGGCATGGTTTCCAGAATCTGCCACAAAAGTCCAGGAAAGCCAGAGAGCCTCCAGGAATCCACTGCCACTAACAACATACAGCGCAATCCCACCCCAAGCAATGAGAATTATGGTGGCTAACAGGAGGGCAAGAAGCTTTGCATATGGGTGTCCTGAGAAGAACACATCAACTTTATAGGCGATCCTCTTCTTGAGAGGCACTTCTTCCTCACCACTTCTCCCCCGCATGGAATTTGTCTGTCTCCGTCGGAGCTGATCAATGTACTTAAACAGGAACAATGGAACTGCAAGAGCAAAGATTGTGCTAGATG